AAATGTTTGCTTGAATGTTGAGCGATTCAGTACGGAAACACCAAAATGCCTCAAATCAATTCGATATACCAATCTGATCGCAAAACAGCACGTGACGTCATTACACACAGGTTTTAATTCGCTTTAAAGCCGTTGGATTGGTCGTTTAGCCATTGGTCGTTTTTTTTTTTTTTTTTTTTTTTTTTTACCGAACTTTAGATTGGATTAGCAAGTGGATGGAAACTTGGCTGGTGTTTCTGAAAGAATCGCCACCTGCTGGCATAACGAACAACTGCTATAAAATACTGCTTTTAAAAACATTTAACATTTACAACACTAATCTCTAGTGAACTGCTCTTAGAAGTCTATGAGAAGCTGTACAAAGTCCTCAGATCTGCTCTTATCAACAGACTGAACCCTACGGTGTGTCCTTCTGTTGTTATATGTGTGTGTGTGTTTAAAGGAGCACGACAGGATTGTTTACAGTAAAGTCACTTGCTCCTGTAATCTTTGCTTACTTTGCTAGCGGTTCACTACCTCTGGGGCTTTGCTGACATTAGCACTGGCATTAATGGGAACTGGAGCTGTTCGTGCCTCGGGGCCCAGCTTGACCCTTTTGGAGGGAACACTTCCTATGTTCCTTCAGTACCTTCACCCTTAGCCTTTGCATGCTCCACCTCACCCCGTGACCAGGTGCATCCAGCGGGCGACTGACCGGGCAGTATGGAGGATTTTTACATTTCTCACTATACTAACTGTACATTTACAATCACCTACTACCAACATAATGATCGCGATTAATCGTGATCTCCATTCAAACACCCACTCCATCTTATCCCTAAATGACATGATTCTCCTGTGTCTATTAAAAAAAAAAATTGCTGATAATTTGCTCACCCCCATGTCATCCAAGATGTCCATGTCTTCAGTCGAAAAGAAATTAAGGTTTTTGATGAAAACATTCCAGGATTTTTCTCCATATAATGGACTTCAATGGGGACCAAACGGTTCAAGGTCCAAAAGACAGTTTCAGTGCAAACTGCAAACTGTTCAAAGGGCTTTAAACGATTCCAGACGATGAATAAGGGTCTTATCAAGCGAAACGATCGCTCATTTAAAAAAAAACAACAACAAAGTTTAAGTTTTATAAGCTCAAATGCTCGCCTTGCTCTGTTTTGTGATGCGCGTTCGTGACTCTCCTGTTCGAACTCGTTCATCAAAACGAACGAATCTTTTCCAGAGTCAACTCGTTGAATGAAGCAAATGACTCAAAAAAAGATCCGTTCATTTTGATTCGAGCTACTCGTATCATTTTTTTCACAACTAGAGTATTGTCTAGTTGTAGCTGACAGATATTCAACATAACTCATCTGTGAGAGTCGAACAGAAGGACGGACGAAACCAGTGAAACATCAATCAACTGATCTGAGATCTTATCAGATTTTATTACTATTTTCTAAACTATAGCGAATAAACTGTGATAATGCGAGAAATGTTGAAGGTGTCTGAATACATTTTGGTTTGATTGTATATACAGTAGTTTTTGCGCTATCCCAGTCAGTGGGAGCTCGGCCCCAGACACAGGTGCCGTATAGCTAAGCGGATCACAGCTATCCACAGGCACTTTGGACTGCATTTAGCAGGATGAATTCATTAAGGAACGGTTTCTCTCAAGTGCTCTCTCTCTCTCTCTCTCTGACAGCTGCTCTCTCTATGTAGAACCCTGCAGCCAAACACAGATCAATGGGAGAAATACATCCACAGGAGCGTTTAACAGCAGACCTTGGAAGACAGGGAGTGTGTTTAAGACATCAGTGCATCTGTATCCTCCAGATCTGAGAAGTGAAAGTGTTCAGTCGAGAGAGAGAGAGAGAGAGAGAGAGAGAGCACCGCTCGGGGTGGGAGGAGAAGAGACATTGTGTTTAAACTCACAACAGTCGGTTCAAATATCACATGAACAAAATGCGTTATGTCATGAGAATGGTGCACGAGATTTGAGATGCAGATTCTCACACGGTGCCCGACGGGTCACTCAGCAGATGGCAGTGAGAGACATGCTAATTGTGCAGCGTGCACTACAGCTGCCGCCAAAGGCAAGGTCTCTGACAACCTATTTCTCAATCTTTTCATTTCATATGACTTTATCACAATTATTGTGGTATTGTTTTGTACAGAATATTGCAAAAGTGTCAATATGCACACATAAAAAATTACATTAAAGAAAAAAGGCAGAGGCTATTTAGACATAGCGGAAGTAGATAGTGTTTTGAGCAAGTGTAAATGGCAACAAATTTACTCTAGGAGCAAACAGTGATGGTGTTTGCACAAAGTATAACATGCTGATATACCATTTGTACCCAGGGTAAATGTCTGACTTGTAGTGGGTGGTAAAATAGCCTTTGTCAAAAAGGTTGGCTATTTGCATTTGTTGTCAAGACACTGCCAAATAATAATAATAATAGGAAAGAAGACATAAAAACATTTGCCAGTAGGGTGCCTAATTTAATTTGTTTTTTTATATGCAGTATGCAATGCAAACTAATTGATATTATCAAATATGTCTTATTATATATTATTCATTTTCTTTTATGTCGTATCATGCATTATAAAATATTTCTCTTTTTCTCTATGTATTCTTTTATCACAAATTCATACAATTTTAACAATAAAAAACACAATTAACTGACTACAGAACTGTCTTTACAATAAGGTCTCATTAATGCTCATGTATTAACTAACAATGAGCAATAGCCTTACAGTATTTATTCATCTTTGTTAACATTAGTTAATTATATAAGTATAATTATCATGTTTGTTAATGTTACTTCTCAGTGCATTAACTAATGTAAACAAAAAAACAACTTTTGATTTTAAACTAATGTTAATGAAACCTTATTGTAAAGTGTGTTTTTGTTGCCCTCCACTATGTATCTGCTAAATCAAGTGCTTTTAAAAAGAAAATCTCACCTTCTAGAAGCAGAACAGCACTTTAGTTAGATAACCCACAATATAATCCATCCAATTTACAAATGATTAGTCAGATTCTGGTTTGTTTGTTGCTAAAAGCTAACCTGAAGATGAACATTAGCTTCACCTGCAAGAGCGGAGATTCAACAATCATTTACTGCCATCTTGTGGCGAGCGGTATGTAATGCAGTCCTTACAATGTCCTGATACTACAATGTCTGATGATGTTCGAAAGGTATGTCATTTATTTTCGTGTTTTATTTGTTTTCTAATTAGTTAAGTGAGGAATGAAGTATATTCATGACTTTCCTAGCTTACGTTACCCCGTTTATTCGGTTGTCAAAAATCTGCGTCATATTTGAACGTCGTCATTGACCAATCAGAATCAAGTATTCAAGAGAGCCGCGTGGTAATATAAATGGAAAAGTTCTTCCAGACAAAATTTGAATGTTTGTATGACAAAGTCTTTCAAGATAAACAGATTAAAACATTTGAAGGTTATAGGCGATTTTTTTACAAGCATTATACAATGCTTAGAGCTATAGTCCCCAAAATTAGAGCATAGATAATGCTCTAATAATAAAATTAGAGCTCAATAAACAAATAGACATGAAAATGTAGGCTAATTATTAACAAAATGTACAGCGCAGTCTCATCCCAAGACGTCATCTGACGTCTTTTGACCATACGTCAATATCCGCCCTTTTAGGGTCCCCTTAAACGTCGGTAGATGACGTTATCGGATCCTAACTCTACCCCAGACCTAAACCTACCCCGTCACGAAACTGACGTTAAAGGTAAAGCGTCAATTGTATGACGGCCCGGGATCGTCATCTACCGACGTTTAAGGGGGCCCTAAAAAGGCGGATATTGACGTATGGTCAAAAGACGTCCCAAGATGTCAGTTATATGACTACTTGGGATGAGACTGTGTTAAAATGTACTTATCAATTTTTTTTTTTTTTTAAAGTTAGGTCACCTTTATTTATAGTGCTTAATACAATACAGATTTAAAGCAGCTTTACGGTGATTTTTTGTTCAGCTGAAGTCAGTTCAGTGTTGATTGAGTGCCGTTGTGAAGATCATCGATTATAAAATCGGTCTGCAGACTGTGATGTCGTCATCCAGCTCAGTTCAGATCCCATAAAACAGCGTCAGGACAGCCAGATCAGTATAATCTTGTTGAATATTAAATGTCCCCAACTAAGCAAGCCAGAGGCGACAGTGGCAAGGAACCCAAACTCCATCAAGTGACAGAATGGAGGAAAAAAAAAAACCTTGGAGAAACGTGCAGTTCTCCTCTGGCCAACAAATGAACATGATTATGATTTAGGCTGTATCATTAATATTCGTAACCATATTCTAACATTTCATCATGTTGAGCTAACGTTATAAAACATTGATTTGTTTTATGTACATTTGCTCACCTGGCTAATAAAGCTAAGTCGTGACTCGTGAAGCTCTTCCCAGCACAGCTGCAGGAGTTTCCACACGTGACCCTTCTGCCCATCCAGTTCACCCCGGACCAGTTCAGTTGGGTTCAGTCTGACACTGAGCTGGCCATCCATCATTTGAAGTCCAGTAGTTCTGGCATAGCCTGGAGGTTTGTTTCGGGTCTGTTTCTTGCTGTAGGATGAAACCTTGACCCACCTGAGGACACGCTGTGAGGAAGCTGTGGTGTTTTTGCTTCAGGGTGCCACTCACTTTGTGCAAATCACAGACTCCAGATGCAGCAAAAGACCCCCGGAGAATCTTACTTTCTCCTCCATGTTTGACTACTGGTGTCACACAACAAGGGAACATCCTTTCACCTACTCAATAGTGTACAAAAAGCCTGTGGGGTGGGGTTTGATCAGTTCATCCAGCCCGTTCTCATCCCAAGGCGTCATATGCGTATACATCCAACGCACACGGCACCCTTTAGCGTCAATATGAGACGCAGATAAATATGGGCCAGACGGCGCCTCCTAGTGGTCTAAGCCTAACCCTATCCATGGTTGTGTAGAAAATTATGAAAAAATAGTAATAGGCCTGTGCAAAATAACACAAGATCATTTTGGGATGGAACAAGGTTTTTCAAGTTTATTTGCTGTCAGTGTCATTAAACATCAGGAAATAAAAGTACAAAAATGTGTTTCATATTTAAACAACATAGTTCAGTGTCGCACTGAAAATAACGAGGAACAAACATTGAATAGTGAATCTGCTCTTCATGAACAGAGACTCGGTTAGTGAAGAGAAAACATTTGATCTGCTGGAAATATGACTATGAGTTTGATGCTTTAATACTGCGATTCAATCAGAAGCACAAGCATGTCCAGGTCAAATTTCACTTCAAGAATAAAAAAATATCAAATAAAAAAAAAATATGTTTTTGCATAAATAGTTTACTTTACGATAATTACCATTACCATGCATTATAATATCATATTTTCTGCATTCAAATAATTGTCATAAAAATAATAATTTAATGCAGCTTTAAATTGAAAAGTATGGTAATAGTGAGGTAATCATCCTAAAATAATGATTTATGTAAATTAGAATTGATTCCCTCTATTTATATTTATTTTTCACATGAAATATGACCCAGTCCTTGAGGTTTTGTGAGATTTCACCGTACAGTTACCATGAAATAAGGGTGTAAAAAACAATTCACACACACTCCAGCATTCACACAGCTGTAGAAAAAAAGTCTGATCAGAACTAGATGGATATGACAGCAATAACAGATCTAAATATTAAAAAAATAATAACAATAGCAATAAAACGAAACTAACAGTCAGAGAAATCGTATCATATAATGTATAAGCTTCAACATCAGAAATCAAAAGTTACCAGTGTCCCAACTACAGTGCAATTATGTATTAAATATTTCTTTTAATACACAGTTGTAAAACAATGTATAATATCGTGTTCGTTACAAGAAACATACACAGAAAAAAAAATCAGAGGACGCAGAAAACACACCAATTGTTCATTTATACAACAGAAATTGCAGCCCACGACAGTTATTTGGACATCCATGAATGTGCAGCTTATTTATTCTAGAAATGCTTTATTTAAAACAGATCCTTGGTAATTCGTTTTTTACATGAGCTCTGCCAGATCTGCGTTGTCAGGTTTGTTTTCATTAAAAAAAAAAAAAAAAATGAATGTTGTGCATCTCCTGGAAAAAGATCACTTTTTGATCGTTTTACTATTATAAATGTTCCAGTTTGTGTGTGTGTGTGTTTTTCTAACACCGCCATGTGTCTCTAAAAATCAATTTCAAATGTACATCAATTGTTTGATCTGCCATCTGCCGTGACATGATTTGTCTCACACACTCGTCCATGCGTGCAGCTCTTCAGAGTAAACCGTGTTTGCCGTCGTCGGGAGGAAGTGATGCGTTCCACAGCAGACGATAACGTCAAGTGTTCGCATGTTCGTTTGTGACGGGTCGCTGGTGGCGGGTACAGATCAGGACATTTCTCCCAACAAACACCACGTATCACGTCAATTATAAAATACCTGAATTTTTCTGACGCATGATTAAAGGATAAGAAGGAACCCCTGGAAACAGCAACAGTTTGAGCTTATTATGGCTATCTATTACGCCGAGTGAAGACGGCGCGGCTTTGCCCGTTCTGCAGCAAACGTCAACTTTAAGTCACCTGTACGATATTCATCTAACTTGGGTCATGATTGACAGTATTGACTGGGTGTTTACTTTCTAATTGCTAACAAAAAGCTTTAAGGGTTGTAGACCTTTCAGGACTTTTTAACATTTTAGACACTTTCAGAAATCGATTGTGTCTTCTGCTGGAAGTATAGCGCCTTTTCTCATGCTGCCATTTTCTCTATGTAACTTTTAAAACTATATATAGTTTTAATTTGTTTTGATTTATTATTATTATTACATTTCAATGTAACACTTAATGTAATTAACTAAAAATACTAGTGTGAGCTGGCTGCAGTTCACTTAACGGCCACCGGTGTCGCTAATAACAAGGGTTTCTGAATTCTACATATAGCCCCTTTAATATTTTCTAACAGACCTGAGCTAACAATGAACCACTGTATTTCATTAACTAGCAAAGATTAATAAATACTGTAACAAATGCATTGCTCATTGTTATTAAATGTATCTGAATGCATTAACTATTACATTAAATGTTACATAAATACAATAATAATTGTAATTTTGTTGTAATTTGTATCTTATTCATGCTGAAAGAAATGTTTTACCCAAGAAAAAATCGTAGCAATGTGCACCCGACTTTAGTTTGTTCACACCGTTCAACATTAGCTTTGATTGATAGCTTAATAAGGTGGTCTCGTCCCCGCTGAGAGTGTTTGTATCAGGATCTAGTACGTTATACATTGCCGCACCACAGATGATCATCCCTTGGTGAATATTAGGGTCCTCAAAAGTCCTTTAGTAATACTCATCCATCTCAAACACACAGAGTTCAGACCCTAATGCTCATCAGAGGGTGGACAGTGAAACTACACAGGACAAAGTCGGTGTGTGTTTCCTGTCGAAGGCACAAGCTGATGTCCAGAAAGCCTCAGAGGGTGATGCGGGCACAGTGATGTTTGAGCTTACAGGGAAGAACGCCTCTGTTCAGCTGGTAAAACTCAACGAGTTGCAGAAGGTCAGTGAAGCGCGTGTGTCCGTCGTCCAGACTGTAGAAGAGCTCGCTGTTTTCTTCAACCTGACAGTCACAAACACATTTAGAGTGTTACACACTTATATTTTACAGCATTATATGTACACATATCATATTTTTGGCCAGAGCTGTTATATTTGTATGTCGGTAAATGAACCTCTTAATATGGTGGTTTTGCCTTGTTAAAAGCACACGACAATGTTACATTTTGACATAATTTTTTGAAGTCTCTTGACTTTATACTGTAATATATATTTTCTAGATTTGATGGATGGATGGATGGATACCATAGATAGATATATAGACAGACAGACAGACAGACAGACAGATAGATAGATAGATAGATAGATAGATAGATAGATAGATAGATAGATAGATAGATAGATAGATAGATAGATAGATAGACAGACAGACAGACAGACAGATAAACAGACAGATAGATAGATAGATAGATAGATAGATAGACAGACAGACAGACAGACAGACAGACAGACAGACAGACAGACAGACAGACAGATAGACAGATAGATAGATAGATAGACAGACAGATAGATAGATAGATAGACAGACAGACAGACAGATAAACAGACAGACAGACAGATAGATAGATAGATAGATAGACAGACAGACAGACAGACAGACAGACAAACAGACAGACAGATAGATAGAGATAGATAGACAGAAAGACAGATGAATAGATAGACAGACAGATATATAGACAGACAGATATATAGACAGATAGATAGATAGACGGATAGGTAGACAGATAGGTAGATAGACAGACATTCAGACAGACAGACGGATGGACGGACGGACAGATAGATAGAGAGATAGACAGATGGATAGATAGATAGACAGACAGATATATAGACAGATAGGTAGATAGACAGACATTCAGACAGACAGACGGACGGACAGATAGGTAGACATACAGATAGATAGATAGACAGACAGACAGACAGACAGACAGACAGACAGACAGATAGATAGACAGACAGACAGATAAACAGACAGACAGACAGATATATAGAGAGATAGATAGATAGACGGATAGATAGACGGATAGGTAGACAGATAGGTAGATAGACAGACATTCAGACAGACAGACGGATGGACGGACGGACAGATAGATAGATAGACAGACAGACAGACAGACAGACAGACAGATGCTGCTCTGGTAATTTTATCAGTAAAATAGTTTAAAAACAACTAAAATAGTTGAAAAACATTTCTCTCTAGAGAGGTAATAACGGCACTAATCTTGAACACTGTTGAGAGACTCTCTCTCTCTCTCTCTCTCTCTCTCTTACTAGCTATAAAATGAGGCTTGAAATTAAATGCGTAAGAAATTAGTCCAATACACAAGAGTTTTCAGACAAAAACCTGACAAATGTCTTGAAATACATCATTTGAACAATGTTTTGAGGTGCGGTAACCGTAGACAAGCTGAAAAATGACCTCGGGTGTGCATTACTTTTCTAATCATTCAATGGCCCGTCATCAATTATTCCTTACTTGACTTACCGGTACAATCTGAAAGTGTTTGATTTTCTGCGTATGGCACAGTGACAGAACAAATGTCCTCGGGTTACTTTGGCTGTCCCTTACCAGAAACACCCTGGGAAGACAGATATTTACAAATGCAGAAGCTTTAATTCAGTTAGGGCTCATCATTTCCTTCATCTTCTGCAATAAATAAAACAACCTTTAGGAAGATTTAAATCAACACACCCATCGATGAGGCCCTGCTGAGCGATTAATTTTTGAGCCTCGTCCCGGGACAGTTTGCTGTGAAACCACGGCTGAGCCACATGGATGGCTAGAGAAGGAAATGACATCATTATGTCAGAAAGAGGGAGGAACAGCACTTCTTTTACTCTATTTTGTTGACGTGTGTGTGCTGACCTATGTTGGACATGGAGCTCTGAGAGGCGGATGGACTGCCATGAGAGCTCAGTCTGTGGCAGCTTTTCCTCTGGAGAAGAACAAGACAACACACATACTGTAGATTAAACACGTGCATTACATGCACAGCGAACATACAGAATACACTCTATAGACCAATTTCACAAGATGTAAACAACACTGGTCCAGAAGCACTTCCTGTTTCAGTTTGTAACTGTTTCCTTTATTTCACATGTAAAGAAAACATCTTAAAGATGTTTGTTTAACTTTTTGATTCAGTTTTACATGTTCTGTTGGTTGTATTTTATCCCAGCTTTTATGTAGTGTTAAAAAACTGAAACAGGAAGTGCTTCTGGACCAGTGTTGTTTACATCTTGTGAAATGGTCTATACTGCCCATGTTTGTATACTGTAAATTGTAAGTGAAACCGTAGGCATTATCCCACAAAAATTAGTTTTTTTAAATAACCCAATTTGCTGGTTTACATGCAATTAAATTACCTGGCAAGAAAACTGCATTTACAAGACTATTAAAAAACAGGTTACACCCCGGTGATAACGTCTAAATGTAAGCATTTCATTCAATATGGCACAATAAAGCATTTCAAGTATTTCACAATGTCAGCGAAAAACTTGCTCAGACTCATTCTCCTCTCATATTTGAAGTTTTTACAACTGTATCACTTGTCTTTTGGCTGCACAACGAGTTTGCGATGTATATTCCTCCTCCCCTACTGCAAAACACTCACTGAATGTGCTTAAATCTGCAGTATAAGGACGCTTTCCTTTCACATTACTCACATGCGCACTTCAATAAGCTGACAGAACGCAGGTTAAGGTGTTTACATCATAGCTGTCAACATTTGGTTTTGCCAGGTTGAGATGATTGTGTGAATGTAATGCATTTAATACAAGATCTGGCAACTGGTCAACATTTAGACAAACATATTGGTCCGTTTATTCATGCAAATTACGGGAGTTTCCCGGGAGAAATAACAAAGTGGGAGGGGTCTGGGACATAGGGCTAAAAAAACGGGAGAAACCCGGGGAAAACGGGAATGTGGGCAGGTCATGCCGGTCAAAATCAGGGTATTGGACAAATATCTAGCTCTAAATCTATTACTTTACGCAGATAAAAGAAAACTGTTTAACACTTTACATGACCACACACATTGTCGGTTTTAAGCATAATTGCTTTAAGAAAGTGCAAACACACTCATTGTTATGGAGGACCAAACCTGCAGAAATTAAAAATTAATACATAAACAAATAAATATGCAAATAAATGTAAAAAAAAAAAAAAAAAAAAACTTTATACTTTTATTTCCTTATTTATCTATAAGTAGATTTTTTCCACATTTATTTATTTTTTTCATTTATTTATTTATGCATTTATTTATTTCCACTTTTATTTATTTTCACATTTATTTATGTATATATGTATTTATGTCTACATTTATTTATACACACTCTAAAAAATGCTGTTTGTTTTAATTATTAAATTACATTTTTAACCCAATGGCTGGGTTTGTCCATATTTTACCCAACATTGGGTTAAAACAACCCAGCATTTTTAATTCAGGTTTGGTCCTCCATATATTGTTGCACTCTAAAAAATGCAGTGGGCGTTTACTTCCAAGTCTTCAGTGCGAGACGCCCATTTGAGCTAGGCTCAAAACTAGTGTAGAAAATAGCCTATTACTTATTCATTTAGATGTTTTTGAATGCAAAAACCAAGCGAACGTCATAAGTTGACCTCAGAAAATAATATAATAAAATTTAAAAAGCCAGTTCATGACCCCTTTAACTAATGGGACCTTAGTGTCAAAGTGCGATAGCTCATTATATATACTATACACTGCATTGGAGAAACTCCAATGCTGTTTTCGCTACTTTACACAGACGCAAGAATTTAGTGTGCATTGTGTGTGTGTGTGTGAGAACGTTACCCTCCACGACAGGCCCTCTTCCACAGCCACTGACAGCGCCTCTGACGGGTTCTCTATCACCCGACTCTTGTGTCCTGAGAAGTCCATGGCCACCAGTGAGTTCTCAGAGATGCTCCTCTAAAAACACACACACAAACACACAATACTGAATCTCACAGAAACGGAAACAGGTCGCAGTTCACCCCCCAAAATTCAGAGTTTCTGAATTTTTCCCAACCCTGGACGTCACAACAAGCATGACATCAAATATTTGCAGGTAAATAAGCATATATTTCCTGTTTAATTATGATTTTTCACACCAGCGAATCACATCTGTACTCTCAAATGAGGTTCACGCACGGTTTAATGGTTTGCAGACTCTAAAACACATGGATTCTGATCATTAAAAACAAAACATTAGTTATAGATCAGTCTTCAGTCAACACTTTATACAATATAGACTGTTTCAAAGCAGATCCATAGTAATAAACAGGTCATACACTCTTAGAAGAAAAGGTTCTATATAGAACCTTAAAAGGTTCTATCAGCGCTACGTATTTGGAACCCCTAAAAGGTTCTATACACTCTTAAAAAAAGGGTTCATCTGGGTTCTATATAGAACCCTGGGGTTCCATACTTGGCCAATAGAACCTTTTACCAAAAAAAAATATGGTTCTATATAGAACCACTTTGGAGTTCCATATATGAAGCGGGGGATGGAACCATTTCTGGTTCTAAATAGAACCATTTCTTCTAAAAGTGTATTGAAACCAAAATTGACAACTCTTATTATTTTATGGATTTTGGAGTATTTATTATTTATCAGTGCACATCATTATTTATTTTTAAATCATGTACCTTCTCTGATGATGTGTTTACCGGCGAGAGGGCGGAGCAACCAACCTGTCAATCACAAGAGATCTAACCACAACCATCCAATCAATTCCCCATGGACAAAATCAAATCCCGTCCCACGTTTTCTTCTCGTTTTAGAAGCCGTTTCACTCAGATATACAGTACGTCACAATAAGAAAGAAGAGACTATCGCAACTTCATGCCAACTTTTTCCAAATTAATCAATTATAAACCAAATTCAATTTCAGCTGTACAGAAGAAAATGTCATTAGCTCATCTGTGAATTCTCAGAAACTACAAGATCATCTACAAATTCAGAGCCAGATTTGATTTGCTCTCTCTCTCTCTGTGTGTGTTAGTTGGAGAGGAATTTTGTTATTCTTATACATGAACACTGGTTACTTTGTTCAGACGCCTTTTAGCTAAGGATTTTGAGTTGTGGGGGCTAATGGCTGTGCTGGTTTTCAAGAGCACACTCACTTATCTCACAAAAGAAGCATTTCCTTTTCACAGTGATCCCTTTAGTGAGAGAAGCAGTGATTATGACTTCCAAAAGGTCCTTAATCTCAGCCATGTGCTCCTGTCCACACACACACACACTAATACACAAGCAGGTTTACAACACTGGATGACAGGATAATCCACAAAGACACATGCTTCACCTCATTCTGCATCAATGCTTCTTTGTGTTTGAGTAAGAAAGTGAAAGGAAGGAAATACAGACACGGAGAGCTGAATCTCACAAGACCTCATCCATGTCATACTGAGCCTCGAAATCAAAATATTTTATTATTTTGCTTGAATGTGAAGCTCTTTTTTTTATTTAAAGCTTTGCATTGGGACATTATTTTCAGGATAAACAAAGAAAAGTGCCTCAAAACATCTGGAAAACAAGGTCTAGTTAAAGCATGATACTTGGAATGGGGTTTTAATTAATTGAGTTATAGTTGAGTTGAAGAATTGAATCGTTGAAGTTGTGTTCTGATGCCATGAGTAAACAAGATGGATGAAGTTCACAACTTTGCTTACTCCTGACAGATACCACAATAGTGTCTATGGAATAATTCATTTATTGATTCATTTATTTCATTTGCATAACTGCAAAAAAGAATAAAAATTAAATAAAATTAAATAAAATTCTATTTAATTTAGGGCTGTTCAAAAATTAATTGCGATTAATCGCATCCAAAATAAAAGTCTGTGTTTACATAATATATTTGTGTGTGCTGTATATAATTATTTTGTATACATAAATACACACATGCATGTATATATTTAAGAAAATGTGTTATTCATATATAAAATATTTATATTTATATAATACAGATTATGTATATATATAAATATATATATATATATATATATATATATATATATACAGAATTTAAGCGCAAATAATTCTTAAATATATACATGCATGCATAGGTATTTATATATACAAAATAATTATATACAGACTTTTATTTTGGATGCGATTAATCGCAATTAATTTTTCCACAGCCCTAATTTAATTATTGTGTGTCTACAGTACATTGGTGTGTAGATGCATAATCATTCATGTGTGTTTGTATATCTGGGAAAAATTCTAGCATATTAAAAGATAGACAGAGCAATATGTTCCCACACAAACTCATGATTACTTTCCTACAAAAAAAAAAAATCTTGAATTTTCAACCTTTAAAGTCTTTTTTTTTTAAGTCAGAAGTGAGTTCTGATGAAAAATGAAACCTGTCAAGGATGTGCTGAGCAAAAATGACAGTATTTCAGTGCTGGTTTCCACTCTGTAATGCTGTAACGTGTGTTTATGGTTTTCCTGGAGCCTTTCAACGCTGTAAACATACATGATAGTGTGTGTCTGGAGCTCACCATTGGAGAACTCTTCTGCTTCTGATAGGGCTGGATGAAGTTCTGGTAAAGCTGCATGCCATACTGTAAATAAACAAACAACCAGATTATACAGTAGGTCCGTTCCGAAACACGCTGTCGACTGCCTACATAGGCGCCTGCCTTCTGAGGGAGCTTCCTAACTGAAATAGACCCTCATATGTATCTAAATTAAGAACGTTCTTGTGTTTGTTGTTGTTAAAACAACACAAATCGGGACAACAATGGGCAGTTCTTCTCTTGTTTTACTGTGCAATACTCTGAGAACACCGTGGACAGTAAAAGAAATGGACACAGCGACCCCATAGATTTCAACGGAGAAGCCAAGCCAATTAGAAGCACTCTAAGATCTACAGTATATATACATAATGATATGAAGAGTTCAGATGCAAAAGCCTCTAAATGCCATTTGAAATTTTCTTCTTTAATGATGATTTTTATCAAACTTCTATATTTAAGTTCAGTAATTTCAGTTAAATAACAATTAATAGGTAATTATCATTGCAATTTAAGTGAAATCACTGAACTTAAATATACAAGCTTGATAAAAATGATCATTCTAGAAGAAAATTTCAAATGGCACTTAGAGGCTTTTGCATCTGAACTCTTCATATATTCACGTTTTAATATTTAGACCACTTCTATTATTGAACGCTATCAGGATGTGAAGAGAGTTTCAATATCTTTAAAATGCTGCGTATATAGGCAGCTCAATAGGCTTTAACGCAGATCCTAAGATTGGGTTTCTTCTAAGGGTTCAGCATGACCACTGTCATTGCGGGATACAATGGGAACAAACCACCGAGAGAGAGACAGAGAGAGAGAGGGAGTTCTCACCTTGAAGAGGCGCATGGCTGTAACCCAACACGTCCTGGTTTGCTCATCATCCGCACAGAGCAGTTTCAGGTCACGTGCAGAATTGGACTTGCTTGCCTGGATATGAAGAGACATCAAACCCTTTAGAGCTCATTTTTTCTTTTATTATTCCATGTATCTGACATTGTTGCAGCTTTTCTCTTCCCAGTCTGTCAGTAACGCTCTATGAAGCCCGGTCGGCTAGACCAGTGAGTTGTGACATACACACCATAACCACTAGTTTCAAAACACTACTAACTAACTCAACCAGGCCCCGCCCCTTTACTCTGCATGAAATGAGGAATATTGTGACGTGTTCGTTCCTCAAGACTACAATGGAGGCGTTTCAGGGAGAAGCACTGACACTGATATCGAGAATAACTCCCACTGGAGGGACTTTCAGAGCTTTTTCACGCTCAAACTGCAACATTACACACTATAGAAAGATGAACATGGGGGAAAAAAGCATTATCTGACCCCTTTAAATTAAGATTTATTTATCTATTTGAATGAACAGTCCTTTAAAAATATATTGCATAGATCTCTGGAATACTTTAAGGAGTAGTTCACTTTTAAAAACACTTTTGCTGATAATTTACTCACCCCCATGTCATCCACGGTGTCCATGTCTTTCTTTCTTCAGTCGAAAAGAAATTAAGGTTTTTGATGAAAACATATGGATTTACTCCATATAATGGGCTTCAATGGGGTCCAAACGGTTCAAGGTCCAAATGAGACTTTCAGTGCAGCTTCAAAGGGCTTTAAACGACTCCAGACAATGAATAAGGGTCTTATCAAAGACCCTTCAAGTCATGACTCAAAAAAAGATTTGTTCATTTTGATGAACGAGTTCGAACAGTCATGAACGCGCATCACAGAACAGAGCAAGGCGAGCATTTGAGCTTATAAAACTTTGTTTTTTGTTTTTTAAATGAGCGATCGTTTTGCTTGATAAGACCCTTATTCATCGTCTGGAATCGTTTAAAGCCCTTTGAACAGTTTGCAGTTTGTACTGAAACTCTCATTTGAACCTTGAACCGTTTGGACCCCATTGAAGTCCATTATATGGAGAAAAATCCTGGAATGTTTTCATCAAAAACCTTAATTTCTTTTCAACTGAAGAAAGAAAGACATGCACATCTTGGATGACATGGGGGTGAGTAAATTATCAGCAAAAGTTTTTTTAAAGTGAACTACTCCTTTAATTGCTGCCATTCTGTGCTATTTGCACTTTTTTGTCCTTGTATATATGCCTCTTATTTTCCTTTCAATACCAATATTTAATTTGAATCAATTTATCAATCAATTTATTTATCTATATTTATCTATTCATTTAAAATTTGTATGCAAACCACTTACTATTGTATGAAGTGTGTTATATAAATAAATTAGCCTTGTATTGCCCTAATACTTTTTATGATGCTAATTATCACTGTCCCAGACGCTTTGCTCCAGTTTCATGTGTATTGTATCACTATACTGTCTCTATCTTTCTCAAATAACCAAACAGCAAGAAATATTACACCTCCGTTTATGTATTTACAGTACTTGGTTAGTATCCATTCGACATGCACAATCATAAATATCATCCTTCAACTCATACAATTCACGCTGAAGATTGTTTTACTATTATTCTCGCTCGTGTCAGAGCAGAGATCAATGTTTGTAACGCTAAAGACACAATACAAAGTTCACGAAAGATAAGCAGCCAGACAGATTGTTTGATTGCAGTTTTATATAACTCACAATAAACAATAAATCTGAGACTTATGAGGCTTATTAAAACATAAAACCACTGGTAACACTGACCTCGACTGCTGTAGTTGTGTATAATTCAGTATTACAGTGAGATTGATTATAAAGCATGTGAAAAAATCCCCCAGACTGTGTGTGATGTCCTGAAGATTATTTGCATTGAATCACCTTCACGCAGAAGCCGTAGTCTGTCGGGGCGCCGTACACTTTTTTGGCTGATAATAATGTGTAGACGTCACTGTCACTGAACTCTGCGATGAACTGCAAGTGTCTGGGTTCCTTCAGAAAAGAGAAAATAATAATTATAGTCATAGAAATAATACAACATCCAAAACAAACTTTAGTATTCCTAAGTTAACCAATAAATTAGCAAGCAATCGATCTAAAAAATGAAACCCGTTTTTTTCTCTGTTACCCAGTTCATAATCAGAATTGTTTTTCCAAAATTATCAAATTTTTACTACACATGAATACTTTCAGACAATGTTTAAAAATTGTGAAATATAAAAAAGGGAAAAAATTCTCAACAAGGTTGCATTTATTTGGTCAAGATATATTGTGAATTATTGTTACAATTTAAAACAACTGCTTTCTTTTTAAATATAATGTATTAATTACTCCAGTCTTCAGTGTCACATGATCCTTCAGAAATCATTCTAATTATGATGATTTGCTGCTCAAGAAACAATTATTATTATTATCAATTTTGAAAACAGTTGTGCTGCTTCATATTTTGTGGAAAGGAAACAGTGAAACATTTTTGATGAATAGAAAGTTAAAAACTACAATTTATTTAAATGAATATTTTTTTATTTAAATTTATTATTTTTCTAATTTATTAATTTTTTTGGAATATCAATTAAAGTGTCCTTGATGAAGAAAATATGAATTTTATATTTGAGTGTGTGCATGCGTGTATATCTAAATGTGGAAAATATTATATATATATATATATACTGTATGTATGTATATATATATATATATATATATATATATATACATACATAGATATAAATTAGGGCTGTCAAACGATTAATCACGATTAATCGCATCCAAAATAAAAGTTTGTGTTACATAATATATGTGGGTGTACTGTGTATAATTATTTTGTATATATATATAAATACACACACGTGCATGTATATTTAAGAAAAGAACATTATTTATATTTAAAATATTTATATTTATATATAATATAAATTATATATAAATCTATATACTGCATCTACTTGAAAATATTTATTAAATATACAAGCATGTATGCGTTTTTATATATATATAAAATAATTATACACAGTGCACCCACATATATTATGTAAACACCAACTTTTATTTTGGATGCGATTTATCGCGATTAATCGTTTGACAGCTCTAATATTAATGTTTTAAATATGAGGGAAGAACAAAACGCTAAACTTGGTTGACAAAATGATTTGTCAACAGTTTTTATTTATGCAAAAAAAAAGATGCATATAAATGCATATGTACATACAGGTACACATAAACTATTTCAAAATGTTAGATTGCAACTATTTAAAAAAGAATATTAACTTCAAAATGCCATCTATCATAATACACTAAACGTGTGAGCGTATATGAGAGGTGTGTGTGTGTGTGTGTGCTCACATTCATTCGTTCCAGCAGTAAGCCTGCTTTAGCGCGGAATAAATCCAAACGCGTGAGATATGAACGGCATCTCACAGAGGACACGAGTGACACGCATGGAATTTGTAATGTTATACAGAGAAGAGTATGTGTGAGCGTTCACAGACAAAAGAGTTGACCTGTGCACATGAGCAGGGGTCTCTTCAGAAAGCCACTGGGAATCCTGTGGGCACGGGGTTACGAATCAAAACATGATTCTTATTCAGAACACTTTACTGGAAGAGTCAGGCAGTGTTTCTTGCACTGGTTTGGGGAAATTCAGCTCTCTTTGTCTCAACGGCTGAGCTATTTACACTTCCACTTGCTTTCAAATTGGTTATCAAATATACAAAAGTATCTAAAGTGGATTTAAACCTCATTGAATTTGTTACTTCATACGTTTGAACTCTTTTCCAGAATTGAAATCAGTGAAAAATTGAAAGCTCAAACCGGGACTAAGGCAGCCGTCTTCTTGCCTGCTCACCAACACTGAGGGTGTAATATGCATATTCATGGCAGGAGATGAGCTGCAATGACAGGAGCTTTATCTCAGTAACACTGCTAGTGAGGCGAGTCAAAAGAAAAAGAAAAGCCAGAGTAAGACACCAAAGAAAGAAAGGCAAACACACACACACACACACACACGCAATATATCATATCTTTCTGCATTTTTACATTTTGTTTTGATTTATACACCGTTTTTCTCATGGGGACCAAAAAATGTCCCACAAAGTGAAATATTGGCATGCATTTTGTCCCCATAATGTAGTGTTTACCAGGAACACAGACACACACACAAACACGCACAAAGGCGGGCTTTGTCTCACCTTTATAAGCCTCACATGTCTCGTTTCTAAACTCACAGAGACAGACTGTGAACTAGACTAAGGTGTGGGCTTAGACACCTTTGACACCAAAATCTGCAACAGGTCTGATTGCTTGGCTGAGTTGCTCAGCTGTTTCTTCAATGCTTTTATGTTTTATGATCATTTAGGTAAAGTATTAATTAATTTTTTTTTCCTTTTTGTTCCATCAAAGTCACATTAAAACCATCTTGGACACTTTCCAGCAAGCTTTTCATTTATTTATTTATTTAGCAAGTTTCAAACACTGTATGCATATATTTTATTGTCTCTCAAGCCCAGACTTGTAGACTGTAAAAATTAATACGACTTAATATGTTAAATCTAATCAATAAAATTGAGGCAACAGATTACAATCAATATTATTAATTACATTTTACAAATTAGAATTGAGTAATGACTAACCAAATGGATTACTTAAAAGTTAACCATTTAGACATTTTTAAAAACAAAAGTATCAGAAAAACAAATGTCAAACTCTTTTTTTATTGCCAACACTGAAGACACCTGATGATAACAAGCAGAATCCACTGAAAAAAATAATATGCTTTATCTAATCAATAAAATTGTGGCAACATATTACAAACAATATTATTAATTAAATTGTACAAATTAGAATTAATTAGAATGTTAATTTCATTAACTATTACTCAATTTTAATTTGTTCAATTTAATAAATAATATTGCTTGTAATCTGTTGCCACAATTTTATTGATCAGATAAAGCATATTCATTTTTACAGTGTCACTGAAGGAGAAAACCATATTTTTTAAGTCACCATTATGGAGATCAGTGTGTGTTTTAGTTGGGCCAATTCTTAATTCATGTTTGACGTCAGTCTGTTTTTCCGATATTTTTGTTTTAAAAAAAATGTCGAAATTCTTCTAATTTTAAATGGTTAACTTTTAAGTAATTCATGTGGTTAGTTATTACTCAATTCTAATTTGTTAAATTTAATTAATAATACTGATTGTAATCTGTTGCCTCAATTTTATTGATTAGATTTAACATATTCAGTCATATTCATTTTTACAGTGTAATTACTATAATAAAGTTTTAGATTATATATTCTTATGTGTATTTTATGGTTACTATAAAATTTTACTATTGCGAGTGTGTGTGTGTGTGTAAAAATGATTGTGCATCATTTCCAATCAAGCTGTTATTTTGTCAAATTATGCATTGAAAGTAATTTATTTGGTGTCTTATCACTGTAAAAATGAATATGCTTTATCTAATCAATGAAATTGTGACTACAGATTACAAGCAATATTATTTATTAAATTGAACAAATTAGAATTGAGTAATAGTTAATCAAATTAACATTCTAATTAATTCTAATTTGTACAATTTAATTAATAATATTGCTTGTAATATGTTGCCACAATTTTATTGATTAGATATATTATATATACATATTATTTTTTTCAGTGTACATAAAATGCTATTTGAGATGTGTTAGGACCTCTGATTGCATGTACAGTATGTCCACTCTTGCACACTGTTGGTGGACACATTAAAAAAAGCAATGAGTGTATGGAAAGTGTTTCATGTGAGTTTATTTTCTAAAAGTGCCCACAGAAACAGCCTGATATCATGAAGTGGACAGTGAGTCCGTCTTATATCCTGAACAAAAGCTCTATTGTGTTAAAAAGAAAAGAGAATGAGGGTAGTGCTGGTTGGCACAGTAGTGTGCAGGTACACAGCTCACCTGTTGTGTGACTTCGAAGGGTTCAGCACTTGGCATACCAGGAGTGTTACACAAAATCCGGCTCTACAAGTTTTACTGAGTAAATCCCCATAAATCTGCACTGTCTATCACATCTAGACTGCATCAGATAAGAGTCAGCACCTGAATGAACTCCTGCAAACCAACAGCTCTTGAACTTCTGCATAATCTCGCCGCTCACGATGCACGGCTCACCTTTAAGGGAATCTAATGAGTAAGAGCAAGTGGTATTGTGAACAATTAAGACTAATCCCTGCAGACTTTGTGGCATTGAGATCAAAGGACGGAGAGTTTTAGCGAGCCAGAAACTGAGCGCAGAGCAGGTGTGTGACCAGTGATGTAGTGGTGTCTGGAGAAGTGGGTGTACTCTTTAAAGGGATAGTTCACTTTGAAATAAAATTTTGGTATGTTTTATCTTACCTCAAGGGCATCCAAGATGTAGGTGTCTTTTTTTCCACAGTAGTTTCAATTTTGTTATTTTTAGGTCAAACCGTTCTTGTCTGTCAGTCATATAATGGAAGTCTATGGTCACCACCTCAAAGATCATGCACAGAGAAGTCCAAATCAAACATGATTGAATTACTCATACATGTAAGTACACATTGATGGCCTAAGACACGAAACGAGCGGTTTGTGTGAGAAAACAAACAGTATTTATATATCATTTTTACTTCTTGTTACCACGTCCAAGTGATCTGAGGGCGCGGGTGCTTTGTGGCTTTGGTTACAAGAGGTAAAACTATAAATACTGTTCATTTTCTCACACAAACCGCTCGTTTCGTGTCTTAGGCCATCAATGTGTACTTACATGTACGAGTCATTAAATCATGTTTAATTTGGACTTGTCTGCGCATGCTCTTTGAGGTGGTGACCATAGACCTCCATTATATGACTGACGGACAAGAAGGGTTTGACCTAAAAATATCAAAATTGAAACTAATGCGGACACAAAGACACCTACATCTTATATATAGAATCACTAGTATTCTTGCATATCAGGGTCATACGTAGGGTTTTCTAAATACCCAATTCCCATTAATGACATTGCTATTATAAACAATATTTATATTTAATATTTATATATAAACAATATGAATGTAAGCCAGAGGAGAACTGGCCCCCGACTGAGCCTGGGTTCTCCCAAGGTTTTTTCTCCATCCAATCTGATGGAGTTTTGGTTCCCTGCCCTTTTGGCTTGCTCAGTTGGGGTTATTTAGTGTTTAGCAATATTATTGATCTGTGTTGTACTACTTTCATGTTATCACTGTGAAGCTGCTTTGATACAATCTGTATTGTGAAAAGCGCTATATAAATAAATGTGACTTGACTTGACTATTATTACTTCGTTAACTAAAGTGAAACGTTGCGTTGGGATTAGCGCTCGGCTCGCGCTTCTGTGAACAAAAATCCTGCTTGCTTTGATTGGTCTCAAACATGTTGACATTGACGAGCGGGTGTGTTTGAGTCATGAGCAGGTCAGATATTGTCGCGATGGGAGAATCGTTGCAGCGACGAATTAGAGTTAATATTAGGGGTACGACCCTGACTGGGTGTTTTTTTATTCACGAGATTGGATTAGCAACTATTTAGAATTGGATTTAGAAGTGGGTATACGCAATGCCGACTGAAAACAATGTAGGTATACGCCGTATAACCTGCTCTACACCACTGTGTGTGACGGATCTGAACACACCTTTGATGTGCCCTTGTTGGAGAAGTACAATCCTGATCTTCTTAACACGAAGTAGAACTTCTTCCATGATTTCCTGCCATGCTCTTTGGCGTGGAGGTACCCGTGAATCTCAGGACAAGAACTGGAACTGAGGAAGGTCTGCAGGAGGAAAGTCAGACACAACATGCTCAAACAAACCCTTTATCCAACTCGTGTGTGTATAGACCATTTCACAAGATGTAAACAACACTGGTCCAGAAGCACTTCCTGTTTCAGTTTGTAACTGTTTTCTTTATTTCACATGTAAAGAAAACATCTTAAAGATGTATGTTTAACTTTTTGATTCAGTTTTATATGTTCTGTTGGTTGTATTTTATCCCAGCTTTTATGTAGTGTTAAAAAACTGAAACAGGAAGTGCTTCTGGACCAGTGTTGTTTACATCTTGTGAAATGGTCTATATATATATATATATATATCAATTAATTTCATTAATGTTGATAATTAAATTAATAAGAAGAAGTATTTATATATATATCCTTATGTGCCTGTATAAACACCCAAGAAAACTAGCTAGCAGAAGATAAAAGAAAAAATTACTCTATGCACATTTAAAAAGATGGTTCACTTTGAAATGAATTTTTGGTATGTTTTAGCTTTCCTCATGAGCATGCAAGACGTAGGTGTCTTTGTTTCCGCAGTATTTTCAATTTTGATATTTTTAGTTCAAACCGTTCTTGTCTGTTAGTCATATAATGGAGGTCTATGGTCACCACCTCAAAGAGCATGCGCAGAGAAGTCCAAATTAAACATGATTTAATGACTCGTAAATGTAAGTACACATTGATGGCCTAAGACACGAAACGAGCGGTTTGTGTGAGAAAACAAACAGTATTTATATAGTTTTACCTCTTGTAAGCACAGCCACGTCCAAGTGATCTGAGAGCGTGGGCGCTTTGTGGCTGTGGTAACAAAAGGGTAAAATGATATAAATACTGTTCGTTTTCTCACACAGTGTCTTAGGCCATCAATGTGTACTTACTTTTACGAGTCATTAAATCATGTTTAATTTGGACTTCTCTGCGCATGCTCTTTGAGGTGGTGACCATAGACCTCCATTATATGACTGACAGACAAGAACGGTTTGACCTAAAAATATCAAAAACAAAGACACCTACATCTTGGATGCCCTTGAGGTAAGCTAAAACATAGCAAAAAATTAATTTCAAAGTGAATTATCCTTTAATAATAACAATATGAAGATCATCACCTGTATGAGTTGTGAGTGGTTCATGATTCCATTGGTTTCACTCGATATCGACACCATGTGCTCTGGGAAAAAGTCCTGCAATGACCCAAAGAAAAGAAAAACATTCTCCATAATCTTCACAAAAAATACTTACAAATTAAATTAGGTGAATATTATTTGTAAGCAAACGACTCCTCTGACTCTTCTTTTTAGTTGTTTACTGTGTTTCAAGTGCAATTTCTAAAGACACATATTCAATCTGTCAGGTATTACAGACATTTTATGTGTGCTATGAAAGAAATCCCTTAAAGCCCCTTTGTTAAATCCCCCATTAGGATCCTCGACCTTTAAAATCACAGGATTTAGTGATCTGTGCTTGATTACTCAAGCATTACCTTGAATTCTTAACCAGTACAATTAAAAAGCCCTATTGTGTGTCTCAGTGTTTCAATCTTTAATGACCTTGAATAGGTAACTCTGTATATTTGGCTAAACTTCAGCAAATCAATTATACATTACCAGGGCGAGAGCACTCACACACAGAGAGAGACACACACACATTGGGTTTTTGGGGGTTTCCATGTTTTATAGGGAATTTTTATAGACATATTGATCTTTATATTGTACAGACTGTATTTTCAATCCACTAACCCCAACACAGAAAACTCTATATTTTTACATTTTCATAAAACTGATCATAATCACGATTTATAAGATGTTTTCCTCATAAAATGTACCAGCAAGGTCAAAGAAAAGTTATTGCCGTCCTTATTGTAGGGAATACTGTACTGAATTACCACAACACACACTTACAAGAGGCTTCTTGAAGAACTCGTATTTGGCATAATTCTTCCTGAAGTACAGACAGCATTGTGAGTCCATGCCCCAGCCAGACTGAACCTCCATAACTGACTCATGGTCTTCTATGGTTCTCTCTGGAAATCAAAAACAAGCTCATGAATTTGCACTAAAGCAGATTATGTGCATTAAAGAACAGACTCAATCGCAAGCACAGCTGTCAATCATGATGTTACGCTCCGTTTTTTATAGCATCAAATAACTGACTAAAACCAAACTTACTGGGAACATCATTTAACATGCATGATAAGAACAACAAAAATGACAGAAACCATCTTTGGGGGAAAAAAAAGTGTAATTGGATTTTTAAGTTTGGCTCGCGTCCCATTCGATTATATGAACGATGACCTATACTCCAGCCAACCACCAGGGGGATCGAAATGCTTTGGTTTCACTCGCTTTGAATTCTGCTCATCCAATCAAAACACAGAGTCAGCTCTTTTGATAATGTGATATTTTACTGCCCTTGTTTGTTCCCAGCTTTCAGTTTTACCATCCCACTTCTCCGTGGGCTTGACGGATTAATTATTAACACTCTTTTCAAAAATCGTGCCATGATAATGAGCAACCTTCAATAGTAGTGAGAATGATGTGCGGGGGAGCTTGTTATTCCACTTTATCATCAAATATTATTAAGCTCCTGCAACCCTAAATGCATGTTTAATGACTAAATGGAAAGCATCTGTTTAGAAGCAGCCATCTGGAAGAGTTAGGCTGTTATCTAATACTAATTAATTCCCATAGCGTTACTGCAGTGAACAGATAGAGATCCTCACTGCTGATATGACCAAATGAGCTACATCGTGGTCATTTGGAGCTTAACATTGTCTGCTTTTCAATGTATATTTAATGTATACCTGCCTTTTTAGTATACACTCACCTAAAGGATTGTTAGGAACACCTGTTCAATTTCTCATTAATGCAATTATCTAATCAACCAATCACATGGCAGTTGCTTCAATGCATTTCGGGGTGTGGTCCTGGTCAAGACAATCTCCTGAACTCCAAACTGAATGTCAGAATGGGAAAGAAAGGTGATTTAAGCAATTTTGAGCATTTTAGTCTCACTCATTAGGGAAAAACATGCATCAAGATCCCAATTTGGGCTGTTCTGAATGGAGACGACACCCATGTGTGAAACTCCAGCAATGAGACATGTTACCAAGAACATATAAATAATGCAGGTGGCATCTTTAACCCCAGGACGAGGAACACCCTGAGCAGACGGAGGCTGTTGACTGGCTCATTCACACCAATCTGGAAACCAAGGCTGGAATCAATAGGCTGGAACTAATGCCAGGTTCAGACATGATATAACTCTGATTATGGCATTATCCATTTGACGTCGGGTGTTGTGGGAAAGCAATTGATTGTGTACGCTCTTATTTCCCAAAGTCAGTCGCTAGTTATGCCTTCTCGGCAAAGGCGGCAGGCGCTGATTGGTCGAGAAGCAGCGTGTAGTCGGACATGTTTTTTTGTCCACGAAATGACAAGAATTTATGAGTCAAAAACGCATAATCTGACACCGTGACTAACGTATCAGATTGTGAAGTGTGAGCTGGGCATAAGAGAGTAGCTGACTCGTGAATGAATCATTCAGACAGTTTTGTGAACTGGATCAACTGATTCATTCAAAAGATTCAACTCAAAAGAACGAACCAGTCATCGATACTTTTCTCATGAACTCTCATCAATGTGCAAATGAAAGTTAGGGCATATATATATATATATATATATATATATAGATTATGGATGTCAATTTAACCCGTCATTAACGGCGTTAACGCAAACCAATTTTAAAGGCGTTAATTTTTTCCCCACGCGATTAAGGGCCTTTTAGGCCTTGCAAACTTTGTCGTTTTTTTCACATGCTTTTGCAACAGGACGCGGCATACGTGGAAGTTTTGAAAGCGGTCCACTTTTCTACATTGATAAGAGCAATAAAATGATAAAAATAATGACATTAATGCTATTAATCACGATCGTTTGATAGCACTATACACTCTTAGAAGAAATGGTTCTATTTAGAACCAGATATGGTTCCATCCCCCGCTTCATATATGGAACTCCAAAATGGTTCTATATAGAACCATATTTTTTGGTAAAAGGTTCTATTTACCAAGTATGGAACCCCAGATTTCTATATAGAACCCAGAGGAACCCTTTTTTAAGAGTGTATAGAACCTTTTAGGGGTTCCAAATACGTAGCGCTGATAGAACCTTTTAAGGTTCTATATAGAACCTTTTCTTCTAAGAGTGTATGAATAAACTTTAAAAAAATTAAAGCTACAGTAAATAGCTTTAAAAATAATATAATATATATATATATATATATATATATATATATATAAAACACTAATAAAAATGACAAAAGCACATAACAAACTTGCTGATTCAAAATATTAAATACTATAATAGCATATAAATCATACAAAAATAACACTAGAGTGGATGTCAAGATTTTGAGTGAATAAAATGCACAAATAATGCATTTGCATTACATTTTACATTTATTCATTTAGCTGACGCTTTTATCCAAAGCGATTTACAATTGCTATATATGTCAGAGGTCGCACGCCTTGCTCAGGGACACATTGGTGTCTCACAGTAGATTCGAACCCGGGTCTCTCACACCAAAGGCATGTGTCTTATCCACTGCGCCATCACCACCCCAGTGTAAGTTAATCGATATAAATGGCAAAAAGTGCAATAATGCATTTGGACACCTCCTCTCTAGAATCAGAATGCACATCCTTCTAATAAATCAATCTAAAATGATGACGAAAGGTTGTCTATACCCTTTATTTGAACTGCAATACATTCGATGACAACACACCGAAATATTCAGTTCATCCATTTATTGCACTTTTTTTCGCTTTACGTTTTTGTTATTGTTCAAATGCTTGTTGGCTCAGAAAAGAGCAGCTTACCGATACTCAGATGTGGGATCTGCTCGAACAGGGTCCAGCTGTGGTCATCAATGCAGTGGTTCTTCAGGATGAACAGCTGGCAGATGTCCCGGGCAGTGATGTCACTGGGCACCTCCACCGCTCGGCTGGTGTTGTCTTCGCTGTACACTTTGATTACCTGCAACAAATGACAACAGAAAGAGGTTTTGACTGTTTTCAGAATGGAATACTAGCTTACTGCAAACTAAATAACACACATTATGGACTGTTTAAATGAATGAATGAAAAAATAACAACGCACTAATGCAAGTTTTTACAAATATTTTTTAAAGAAGTCTCTTCTGCTCACCAATGCTGCATTTATCTGATCAAAAATGCATAAAAAACAGTAATATTGGGAAATATTATTATTAAGCTGAATTTTCATCATCGTTACTCCACTTTAAACAGCTGTTACGTGGTCTTAAAATAAATAGCTATTTTGCACTTTTAATCCATATGTGTGTGCAATAATCTTTTCTTAACTTTTAGCAGATATATTTTCCAGTTCATTCATCATGCTGAAAAAGGAAGGTCAAGTCAAGCGCATTGCATTATGGGATACAGTACACCACATACAGTAAGCTCTGCAGTAAACTGAACCTTTGAACAAATCATAAAATGCACAGTATACACAGTACAGCAATAGTAAGAGCAGAACGCTAGCATACAATTCTGAACACAATCATGAATTCGCATGTAAAGGAAGAGTTAAAAACGAGTCACACTGCAACAAGCTCCTGCCATTTTACCTTTCTAGTGATGATATTGGATACACACACTCCTTTGCCATCCCACAAGGACATTCTGAACCAAATTTCACTTCATGCCCTATATACAGTATGCAACAACCCGTTCATTCAAAGTGCAGACAGCCTGTGCTGCAGGAGAAGTCATGAATGTTCCCTTTCATGAGCGCTGGAGTTCCCTGCGACGCCTCATATCCTCATAGGATGCGCCGAAGAACCCAATATAATTCTTTTTAGAGCTGTTTTAGAGTTTCGGGGAATTGCTTTCCAATGATCCCACAGAGAAACAGAGCAGCATTTCAAACTGATTTCATCCACATTGAAAAAAAACTGGACACTAAATTGGCATTTCAGTGCAACTTACCCCTGTGCTGGGCGCCAGGCATGGCTGAGATTTGGGACAAGCTCGGCAGCTTATGTAGGGCTGTGCGCACAGCATTTCTCAAGAGTTGAGTGAACACACAACATAAACGCAAGTATCAGTCCGGAGCAGCGAGCTTCCTCTCTCTCTCCGCAGCCGAGCTCAAGTGAGGTAATTAGAGAGAGCTCCGCTGATGTATGTCACCATGGCTCTGTCCAATCACCTGCCACCGTTTATCCAGCGGGGGAGAGTCCCGCGCCGGCTGCC